TACATAAATGTGCATAGCAGCTTTATTCATGATAGCCCCAAACTGGAAAAAGCCCAGATGCCCTTCAACAGGTGAATGGTTAAACAGATTGGTACATCTGTACCACGGAATACTATTCAGCAACAAAAATAGAAGGAACTATTGATGCACATAACTTGGATGCATCTCAGTGACTTGAGTGAAAAAAAAGCTAGTTTCAGAGGGTTCCGTACTGTATGGTTCATTTATATAACATTTTTGAAATGACAAAATTTTAGAAATGGAGACCAGCTTAGTGGTTGCCAGGAGTTAGGCATGCAGTGGGCGGTGTTTGATGAGCATGGTTATAAAAGGGTAAGGAGGGATCCTTTTGGTGATGGAACTTAACCATGTTGATGGAAACACAAACCTACGTGGAGTAAAATTGTATAGAACTAAATACACACGTGAGTAGAAGTAAACTGGGGAGATCTGAATAAGGTGTGTGGTTGCATCAGTGTTTCTCTCCTGATTGTCATTTTGCACATAGTTTTGTAAAATGTTACTTTTGGGTGAAACAGTGTAAAAGTTACATGGAATTTCTGTATTTCCTATAACTACATGTGAACCAGCAGTTATTGCAATAAACTTTTAATTGAAAAAATCAGGCCAGGAGCAGTGACTCACACCTGTAATCCCAGCATGTTGGGAGGATCACCTGAGGTCAGGAGTTTGAGACCAGCCTGGCCAACATGGTGAAACCCCGTCTCTACGAAAAATATGAAAAATTAGCCAGGTGTGGTGGTGCGTGCCTGTAAGCCCAGCTACTCGGGAGGCTGAGGCAGGAGAATCCCTTGAACCTGGGAGGCAGAGGTTGCAGTGAGCTGAGATCATACCACCACACTCCAGCCTGGGTTGACGGAGTAAGACTGCCTTAAAAAAAAAAAAAAAAAAAAAATCAGGACATTAAGTGAAAAAAGCCAGTCACAAAAGGACAAATACTGCATGATTTCACTTCTCTGAGGTACCTAGAGTAGTCAAATTCATGGAGAGGAAGTAGAACAGTGGTTGCCAGGGGCTGTGGGGAAGGGGATGGGAGTATTGTTGAATGAGTACAGAGTTTGCGAAGATGAGAAAGATTGAAGATGGTTGGTGGGGTGGTTGCACCACAGTGTGAATGTACTTAAAGATGCTGAACTGAACACTTAAAAATGGTTAAAATGGCAAATTTCATATTTTACCACAAAAAAAAATCAGGAATCAAAATGGAACACGTATCTCAGCTATGTAAGTATTGCTATTATCTATTACTGTTCAACAAAGTCACCCCCAAACAGTGACTTCAGAACCGTGATGTATTTTTTTTTTTTTTTTGAGACAATATTGTTCTGTCACCCAGGCTGGAGTACAGTGACGTGATCTCGGCTTACTGCAATCTTTGCATCCCAGGTTCAAGCGATTCTCCTGCCTCAGCCTCCTGAGTAGCTGGGATTATGGGTGCCCACCACCATGCCCAGCTAATTTTTATATTTTTAGTAGAGACGGGGTTTTGCCATGTTGGCCAGGCTGGTCTTGAACTCCTGACCTCAGGTGATCTGCCTGCCTCGGCCTCCCAAACTGTTGGGATTACAGGCGTGAGCCACCACCCAGCCCAAACAATGATGTATTTTGCTGAGGAATTTAGGGGTTGACTAGCCTTAGTGAGGCAGTTCTCACTGGGCGCAAGTGTCCCACGAGAAATGGCAAAAGTTGTGTGCCATTTTCTAACCAGCGTATGTTCATCAAGCAATCACCATCAAGCAATCACCATGGCCTGCCCAGACCAGAGGGAGGGGCGTGGACTCCGCTCTTGGTGAAGGGATTATCAGAGAATTTTCGGATGTGTTTTGAAACCACCACAAGTAGCCCCCAGAAGGGGAAAAATGACAAAAAAGTGAACAGAAGTGAACTCTGTATTGGAACAGTTTTTATTCTCATCTATGTTGTAGCATGCTTGCCAAGTTTTCTATAATGAGAATGTATTTTTACAATAAGAAAGGTAGTATTTTATTTATAAGAGGGTGCTGTTAGTGGTATATCAGCAGAGTCTCACTGAGTTGTGGTGTTCCATCTATTTCTGAAGAGGTGGTTCAGGATTCGCTGGGGTCCTGACAGAGCAAAGGTAACCCATCTGTTCAGGGATGTCACTGGCAACTTTGCACCAGGTCGAGTTTGCCTCAAATTACATATTAACTTTTTTTTGTTTCTACCTCCCAGTAGTCTGTCTAGAAATCCTCATTATATTCCAGACGTTATATCCAATCTCCTGGCCCTAGCAGTTGTCCTTGGCGTTGCAGTGAAGAGGTTGAGATCCAAGCAGGGATGCACATACATATGCATATATATGGGTATAGTCTTGTGGGTCTGACTTAGAGGATCTAAGTAAAAATGGGAATGTTGAGGAATAGAGAAAACAGGACCCAAAAGGATGTCTTGAATGGAGAGTTAATAATAGTAGTACCGGCCGAGGCGGGTGGATCATGAGGTCAAGAGATCGAGACCATCCTGGCCAACATGGTGAAACCCCGTCTCTACTGAAAATACAAAAAAAAATTAGCTGGGCGTGGTGGCGCACGCCTGTAGTCCCAGTTACACGGGAGGCTGAGGCAGGAGAATTGCTTGAACCGGGGAGGCGGAGGTTGCAGTGAGCCAAGATCATGCCACAGTACTACAGCCTGGTGACAGAGTGAGACTCTGTCTCAAAAAATAATAATAATAGTAGTACCTTTCCATCACAAATCAAAGGAGAGACAACTGGACAGGTGACGCTTTGTGCTACAGATGGGAACCGAGAGCGGGAAGTGGTGTTCTTTTGCTGGGCACCTCCCGAACGCTGACGCTTTAGTCCATTTTCTTTTTGTTTTGTTGGACACGCTGAATTCTTGGTTGATTGGTTTAGGTGTCTTAACCTGTCCACCGAAGTTCACTCCGTCTATGTTAAGATGTGTGAGATTTCACACCTACAATATAGGGTGTGAAAGCTAGAAATATATTTAGGAAAATTGAGGCCCACAGAAAGTTACAGATAGGACTGGAATTCAGGTTTCCTGGTTCTTTAATTCTGATTCCTCTCTTTGCCTCTGCTTGTTCCTGTTTTTGTTTAAGGTAGAACAAAGTGTTAAGGACATGTTTAACATGAGGCAAAAAGATTGACTGGAGTGACAGTATCACACAATGGCTTGTGGCGTAGCCCCAGCTGCGTGGGAGACTGAGGCTGGAGGATTGCTTAAGCCCAGGAGTTCAAACCCAGCCTGGGCAATGTAGAGACACCCCATCCCTAATTACAAAAAAAAAAAAAGTATATTGTGGAGTGGGAAATGGGAAATAAGTGATCTGACAGCAGCCGTATGAGGAGCAGAGGGTAACACACTTCGCTGGCATTGTATTTTGCAGTAGTCTGGGACAGCTAAGGGTGTATACACTATCCATATGGAAGAAACTAAAGCAATTATGTGTGTGCCAGAGGCCGCCTTCTAATGATTGAGAAGTCCTATAGATTGGAGGGTGCAAGCATCCTAGAGCTGACAATTCCAAACTGTAGAACTAGATTTTCCTTTTTATAAGATAAATCCAGTATTTTCCTAACTGATGGAATAGATCAAAGCCAGTTATCCCGTGTTCATTCTTTTAACAAATAGTTGAGATTCTGCGCCATCCCAGTTGCTATTCTAAGCACTAGAGATCTAGCAATGAACAAGATAAGCTCCTTGCTTTTTAGGAGCTGATATTCTAGTGGAGGTAGACACATGGTAAATAAGTAAGCCAATAAATTAATACGATAGTTTCAGAAAATAAGCCATAAGTAAACAAGTAGGAGTGGCATGAAGAGACTTCCAGGGGAGATGAACGTGTTCATTATCTTGATTCTGATAATGGTTTCACTGGTATACATGTGCGAAAGTGAAAGATATTATTTTATTTTATTTTATTTTATTTTATTTTATTACTTTTTGAGACAGGATCTCACTCTGCCACCCAGGCTGGAGTACAGTGGCATGATCTTGGCTCACTGCAGTCTCAATCTCCCCGGCTCAAGCAATCCTGCCTCAGCCTCCTGTATACCTGGGACCCTGGGACTACAGACATTCGCCACCATGCCCAGCTATTTTTTTTTTTTTTTTTTTTTTTTTTAGGCAGAGTCTTGCTTTGTTGCCCAGGCTGAAGAGCAGTGGTGTGATCTCAGCTCACCTGCAGCCTCTACAACCTGCTGGGCTCATGCGATCCTCTTACCTCAGCCCATGAGTAGCTGAGACTACAGGCGTTGTACCACCACAGCCAGCTAATTTTTGTATTTTTTGTAGAGATTGGGTCTCACTATGTTGCCCAGGCTGCTCTTGAACTCCTGAGCTCAAGAGATCCTCCTGCTTCAGCCTCCCAAACTGCTGGAATTACAGGCATGCACCACCGCACCCAGCCCTGGCTAATTTTTTCGAAATACTTTCGGTAGAGAATAGGTCTCATTATGTTGCTCAAGCGGATGTGCATTTAAAATGTGTGCAATTCATGTGTCAATTATACCTCAATAAACTCTTTAAAAAAAAAAAATACAGTAGGCAGTAAGTAAAGCTAATTCAGGTTGTTTGGTTAGAGAAGACCTCCTGAGAAGGCTACGTTTGGGCTGACTCCCGAGGAGGAGCCAGCCGTGCCAAGATCTGAGGCACAGCGGACTAACGCTGTTTGAGGATGGCAGGAAAGCCAGTGTTGTCCAAAGCATAATGAGCTGGGAGACTAGGACCGCGTGGGGCCCATGGTGAAGACAGCAGTGAGGCCAAGTTCCCAGACCACCCAGCTGGCGCCCCTCTTTCATTTCTCTTAAGAATCAGGGCAGGGACCAGAGGCAAAAAAGAGCCACCCAGCATCATCGTGTACAGCTTAACGAGAGGGCTTCTCTTTTTCAGTTTGTCATTCCCGCCAGGGAGCAATGTGAAGTGTACCGAGAATGTGGTATTGATGGAACGGGGCCAGTTCAACTTCTGTGTTCTTTATGTTCTCTCCCACTGCAGCTCTTCCTTCCCTCCATGAGAAAGAAGCCAGCTCTGTCTGACGGCAGCAATCCCGAAGGCGATCTCCTTCAGGAACACTGGCTGGTTGAGGACATGTTCATTTTTGAGAACGTGGGCTTCACCAAGGACGTGGGCAACATCAAGTTTCTGGTCTGCGCAGACTGTGAAATTGGACCAATTGGCTGGCATTGCCTAGATGACAAGAACAGTTTCTATGTGGCCTTGGAACGAGTTTCCCATGAGTAACTGAGGGGAGGGGTACTCAGCTCCACCCCCAAAGATAAACTTGTTCCCCACAAGAACTGGCATTTAACGTGGTGTAACTGTTCCGCTGCCTTCTTTTCTATGCTAATATAAACACCGAGTACCAGCATGTCCACTTGAACATGCAGAGGGTTCACCCTGCTTCCTAAAGCCTCACGTACATTCCTCCTGCGTAGTTCACTTGCATCACATTTCCTAAGCTCCCTTTTCCCCCAGTTTTGGGACACTGCGCTTCCACAAATCTTGTCTTTTCCCTGGCATTCTGCCTAGGCTCTGTTTTACCCAGGGGCTCCCTCTTTTTCTTGCTCTAAAAGAGCAGTGTTCAACCTTTTGGCAGTGATGACACATGGCAAAAGATGCTTATGTGCTAATAGTTGAAAGTCTGCCTTTTTCTCATTCAAGAAAGCATACAAACATCTGAAAGTGGCTTTGTTGTATGGCTACCCTTGTGATCTACAGTAATGTACCCTTTCTAAAAGTAAAGCATTTACAAAACTCAGTATTTAAACCACCAACCAGAAACATTATTTTGGACACAGCTCTAATACCATGTTTGAGCGCCTCTGCTCTAGGTTGAGAATGACATTTTATTGTGAAGATGGGTGTGGTCCCTCTGCCCTTGAAATCTTGTAGTTTCTTTTTATATTAGCTTCTCACTGCTACAGCCTAGAAGGTGAAAAGCAAATCTTTAACCCCATCTGGCAGTCACTCAAGGAAGACCCAGCCCTGGCTGTTTACCCTGGCGCTCTCAGGATCAGAGTGGAGGGTGTAGGATATGAGGGTTAGGCCTTTGCCAAATTATACACAAGTTTATAATTTGCCCCATCTGGACAGGTAACTTTCCTTTTTTCTTTCTTTCTTTTTTTTTTTTTTTTTGAGACAGTTTTGTTCTTGTTGCTCAGGCTGGAGTACAGTGGCGCCATCTTGGCCCACTGCAACCTCTGCCTCCCAGGTTCAAGCGATTCTCCTGCCTCAGCCTTCTGAGTAGCTGGGATCACGGGCATGCGCTACCACGCCTGGCTAATTTTGTCCTTTTAGTAGAGACAGGGTTTCTCCATGTTGGTCAGGCTGGTCTCGAACCCCCAACCTCAGGTGATCTGCTTCCTTGGCCTCCCAAAGTGCTGGGATTACAGGTGCAAGCCACCACAACCGGCCTGAACAGGTAACTTTCTTCCTTTGTTCGTAGGCAAGACTTATTTAATGTATAGTATCATCGTTTGCTAAACATACTGGGCATGGTCGTCATGGAGTTTTGGTCCAACTGGAATCTCTACCAACCCAGGATACAAACTTCCATTCAGATGCTTCTATTTCCATAGCTCTGGGGTTGCTCTAACAGTTTGATATTAGCAGACTTGTTTAAGCCTTCAACTTGATTTCCAATTATTCCATCATTTCTATTCTGAAATGACTCACCGTCATAGAAGGAAGTTTATTATATAACCAAGGTTTCAGGTATCCTTCTGTCACCTCTGCAATTCAGAAGGCCTAAAATTGAAATAAGTACTTAATAGAAACTTACTATCTGAAGTCCCTTCCATTGTTTTCTAGTAGCTTCCTCCTTCCTTCACCCCCAAACTTTCTAAGGGCTTCCTCACTGAAGTGCAGGCTGGCCTTGGACGCAGTTTCGCAACAACCTACTCCCCTGGAAAGGTGGCTTCCTTCTGCAGTCAGCCCGAATGAGCTTCAGTAAGCAATTGAGAGAACTGTGTTTTTCTGACAAATGATCACGTCCATAGTTATGGCATCTGCAGAAGAACAGAATTACCCACTGAAGTCAGGAGCAAAACCAAGTAGACACCTCTAGGGACACATGGCCCCTCACATCACAAACCAGAACCTAAGCTAAGCATTTTTTTAAAATTAGGCTTTAACTGTTTGTTCTTTTTTAAATCATAGAATACATATTCATTGCAGATAAATTCAAAAATGTGTAAATATTTTTTAATTGCTAATACTCCCACCATTCAGAGACTGCCAATGGTAATGTGATGTATATCCTCTTCAATGTATATGTATATATTATATACATGTGCAGTTACAGATAGGACATCATACTGTCCTCTTAAAACTTGCATGTAGGCCAGGCATGGTGGCTCATACCTGTAACCTCAGCACTTTGGGAGGCCAAGGCAGGAGGATTGCTTGAGCCCAGGTGTTCAAAACCAGCCTGGGCAACATAGTGAGACTCTGTATCTACAAAAATAAAAGCTTGCCAGACATGGTGGCACATGTCTGTGATCCCACAGGCTTGGGAGACTTGAGGTCGGAGGATTGCTTGAGCTTAGGAGGTCGAGGCTACAGCGAGTCACGTTGGCATCACTGCACTCCAGCCTGGGCGTCAGAGCAAGATCCTCTCTCAAAAGAAAAACAAAACTTTCGTTTAACAAAATAGGATGAAAATCTTCCCACGAGAGTAGATATGTATCCAAGTCCACCATGATTAGTATTCCAATGTGTTGCTGTACTGTAACAGTCCACTATTATGTTGTCTTCATTTTCTTGTAAACTGATACGACATGCACCTTACATTCTGTATGCACCTTTTTAATTATTTACTTGGCATACATTATTAGACGGAATTGCAGGGTATACACATTTTCGAGGCTTTACTCTATTGACACATACTTCTCAAAAACTGTGCTAACATATCCTCCAGCAGCATAAAAGAGCACTCATTTCTCTGAACCCTCACGAACACTGGATATTATTAAAAATATTTTGCCTCTTGTGCCTATAATCCCAGCACTTTGGAAGGCCGAGGCAGGAGGATCCCTTGAGCCCAGGAGTTTGAGACTAGCCTGGGCAACATAGTGAAACTCCATCTCTATAAAAGATGAATAAAATGACCTGGGCATGGTGGTGTGTACCTATAATCCCTGCTAATTGAGAGGCTTAGGTGGGAGGATCACTTGAGCCCTGGAGATGGAGGCTGCACTGAGCCTAGATCACACCACTGGCACTCCAGCCTGAGTGACAGAGTGAGAATCTGTCTCAAAAAAAAAAAGTGTGTGTGTGTGTGTATATATATATATATGGCCACTTGAATAGGAAAACAGTATTTCATTGTTTTAATTTGCATTTATTTTATTGAAATTTTTATATACTTATCGGTCATTTCTATTTCCTTTTTTGAGAACTGCCAAATGTTGCCGTAGCAGCCAAAAATAACAAGTTGCTATTCTGCCTTTTCAGTTTGATTTGAAAGAAAGGCATTTAAGCAATGGAAATTAGATTTCTGCATGTCCTTGGAAAGAATATATAAATTGAAAAAACAGAGGAGAGCTGAAACCTGAACCTTAGGGTTTAGCTTAAGGTCAGCCCCCTGATGATCTAGTCCACTGTACAATGCAAATGTCATTTCATTTCCCTCACACATAAAAGGCTCTCACTGCATACTTGTGAATCAGCTGCTATTTGCTGTGGGTAGACAGAGGGAACCTGTGCTTGCTGCTCCAAGTATAGAAACGTCCGTTTTCTGCCTGGAGAGCAGTTGATTTTGTGAAGGCCTAATTGTTTCCGTATGATTGTCTGTTGTTTTACAGAAACACAGAATTCAAGATGGACAATGGTGTTCTACATTTCACAAATTGTCACCATGTTGTACATGAGGCTACATGTCTAACTGACAATAACTAGTGGGGACTTCTGCTTCTGGTAATGGTGGCTAGGTCCTTTGGACTGACCAGCTCACTGCTCAACTAGAAAGGCTGGACAAAATATTTTAAATATCTGTTTGAAGGTACTAAGAGAGCTGACATGGCTTTGAAGAATTATTAAACCAGGAGGGCAGAGAAGATGGGAATCTTGGGAGGTGGGCTTGGTGTGATGGACCACCGTTCTCCGGGGAGCATTTGCCAAACTTGGAAGCGATTCACGGGCTTAGCAGTAATTTTAGTAGCCTTTCAGAAGTAGGGGTCAGGGCGTGTTAAAGGGTGATGGACTTGGTGGTGTCCCTCACTTTTGGTTGAAGCCCTCAGTCTTTTGCATTCAGGAATAAGGGTGAGGCGGTGTGGGCAACAGGCTCTTGGGACTGCAGCCCAGCTTCCAATTAACGATTTCAATCCTTGAAATTAGATTAAGGTGATCCCAGTGTGGTAGTTTCCTCAAACTCTTTGGATAAGCAAACAAAAACTTCTGTAGAGGATATTATTATTATCCTAAACTTTAGATTATTTCTACAAACAATTTTGCTAATACAATATCCTGAGTACAACACAATGTAACCGGGCACATGAGACAAGATAGCAGGCCCATAGTGGCTAGAGATATTGGCGCTATCAGACAGACTAAAATAACTGTTTACCATGTTCAAGGAGACACAGTTAGGGAACGTCAGCAGCTACGTGGACATGTTTTGTTTTGGTTTTGGGTTTTTTGTTGTTGTTATTTTGAGACAGTCTCACTCTGTTGCCCAGGCTGGAGTGCAGTGGCACAATCTTGGCTCACTGCAACCTCTGCCTCCCGGGTTCAAGTGATTCTCCTGCCTCAGCCTCCTGAGTAGCTGGGATTACAGGCGTGTACCACCATGCCTAGCTAATTTTTGTATTTTTAGTAAAGACAGGGTTTCACCATGTTGGCCAGGCTGGTCTTGAACTCCTGACCTTGTCTGCCCGCCTCGGCCTCCTAAAGTGCTGGGATTACAGGTGCCCGGCCAGACATTTTTTTAAAAATATAATTCTAGAATTTTTAAGAATCCAGTAATTAAAATTAAGAATACAGTGGAACCAGCATGGGCAACATAGTGAGACCTTGTCTTTACAAAAAAAAAAAAAAAAAACAGAAAATAGCCAGGTGCGGTGGCCCCTCCTGTAGTCCCAGCTACTTTCCAGGCTGAGGTGGGAGGATCACTTGAGTCCAGGAATTAGAAGTTTCAGTGAGCTATGATGATGACACTATACTCCACAGCTTGGGCAACAGTGAGTCCCTATATCTAACTTTAAAATTCACTGGGACATTTTAACAGCAGCTTAGGCACAACTGAGGAGAAAACTAGAAAACTAGGAGCAAGGCATAACAGTAGATGTGTGAGACCACAACACAAAACCTTATGTAAGAGAAAGTAAAAGAAAACAAACTCATGGGGCCAGGGAACTACAGCTCACAGGCCAAATTCATTCAGCCAGTACCTGATCTACTGAGTCGCAGAAACTTTGAAGCTAAAAATGGTTTTTACTTTTTTTTTTTTTTTTTTTGAGACAGGTTCTTACTCTATTACCCAGGCTGGAGTGCAATGGCACGATCACAGCTCACTGCAGCCTTGACCTCCCAGGCTCATGTGATCCTCCCACCTTGGCCTCCTGAGTAGCTGGGAACACAGGCACGCATGTGTCACTGCGCCCAGCTAATTTGTATTTTTGGTAGACAGGGTTTTGCCATGTTGGCCAGGCTGGTCTCAGACTCCTGGGCTCAAGTAATCCTCCTGCCTTGGACTCCCAAAGTGCTGGGATTACAGGTGTGAACCACTGTACCTGGCCAGTTTTTATGTTTTGTAAATGGT